CCCTTCTTTACCCCGCCCTCTGCTTCGATCCTCATTCCGTTTGGGAATGAGGATGAAGCAGGAGGGTAAGTAGCCGGGCCTTCTGACACACTTCCGGTGATGTCAGGGGGTGTGGCCTTCTGTCACTTCCGGTGATGTCAGGGGGCGTGGCATATGCAAATAAGTTATGCTAATGAGTTATGCTAATGAGCTCCGGCAGCTCTTTTTCTACAACAAGACCCCTGACCTCATCCATTGCCAGCAGTCCCTCATGTTGGAGGTACATAGCATGGTCCAGCAAGTCAAATCCCTCTCGACAGCACCATCTACATAACTGGCTATTCACCTCCAGTATCCTGTTCTCCCTACCCTCCCATGGCTCTCAACAGGTAAAATGGAGGAGAACACCACCTGTGCCCCCAGATCTTTCACCTTCTTGCCCAGAGCCTCATAGACTTTGGAGATCCATTCACGGTTTCTTTGGGCCATATCATTTGTTCCCAACTGGATCAGCAGGAGTGGGTAGCGATCAGAGGTTTTGACCAGTCTTGGAATTCTCTCAGTAACATCTTGGATACATGCTCCAGGAAGACAACAAACCTCTCACGATTCCTTGTCCGGTCTGCACTGAACGTCTTCTCTCCCTCTCGGTAGGGAGTCACCAACCACCACTACTCGTCTCTTCCTTCACGGGATAGCTTTGGTCCTTCTCTGCCTATGTGTTTGTGTGTCAGTTACATCCTTTTGATTCTGATCTGTGTCAGTTACATCCTTTCTATCTTGGAGTGTGCTAGTCTAATCTTCCAACATCAGAAGCGGCTGGTAGCGATTTTGCAGCTCCACTAGCTGTGAGTGTTTCCTGATTATCTTACTCCTCAAAGTCACATTCTTCCACTCACCTACCTGTTCCTTGTTACTTCCTTCCTCTTGCTTAGGAATTGCTAGCTCTTGCTGTTCTTTCAGGAGCCCCACTTCTGTCATGTCTAAAAACCTTTCTCCCTCCCTGATGTTCCTCAGTGTATGGATTTGTGCCTCGAGTTCTCCCACCTTCTTTTCAAGCATTCTTATAAGCTTCCACTTGCAGCATGTATAATGCATTTCTTGGCAAAGCAGAAAAATGATCATAGTGCAACCCTGGCAGGTTACTGGAATAGATCCTTCTTTATCCATCTCCCTAGGAGCAATGCTACAGCCTCCAGGAACTTCTCTCAAAGTCTGTGGTGATGTACCCTGAAAACTTTGAGACTGACTAAATGGCTACCTTTCCAGCAGTTCTGTCTCCAGAACTCAGCAGCAGCCCTCTTCTTAGGTACTTACAGGGCTTCCAAGCAAGACCCACAGGCTAAGACCCTGTTTCAAAAGGCCACTTCCTACCAAGCACAGTAGAGCCCAGTACAGTAGGGGGTGAGACTTGCAATCAACAGCACTCCACAGCAACTCACTCAGCCTCCAACTACACCCAAAACACAAACAGCCCCAAACAGTACTTAAACAGAACCACTCTCTATCAAGCTACAAAGAACCTAACTCACTCTCGGCTTCCCACTCAGCAGCTAGGAAGGCAAATGGAGAAAGACAAAAAACCCTTACCTTCTAGCAGCAGCTCACCATGTGCTCTCCACTCCTTGCCTCAGCCCAGCTCTCCAGTGAATTTGCAAAAATTGATCTGTAATCATTATTGGGAGAGTTTGAAACAAATATAAAAAGTAGGGTATCACTATCATTTTTATTATAGCCAGTTTTCCAAGCCATGTAAAGTTTAACCTAGACCAGTCTTTTGGTTCTTTATTAATGTGCTTCACCAATGACCTATAATTACACCTAAACAGTTCCTGGCGGGAGCTGGTCCATGGGGTCGCGAAGAGTCGGACTCGACTGTGCGACTGAACAACAACAACAGTTCAAAATGGGTGGCTGTGTTAGTCTGTCTGTAGCAGTAGAAAAGAGTAAAAGTCCAGTAGCACCTTAAAGACTTTAAAAAAGTTGTGATAGGGTGTGAGCTTTTATGTGTCACTGCTCACTTCTTCAGACACAGCTCACATTCTAGCTGTGTTTTTAATTGATGTATCAAAAGTGATTCTTTACGCAGCAAGGTTTTATGCATATCCACTCCATTATAGGAACGTGGGGAAATGTTTCCAAAATTACAAATCTAAAATCATTAAAGTTATGATTTGCATCCCAGAACTGTTGGATCAAGGGAATATCTAGTTGTTGATTCTTTATTCTAAAATGGTGTTCTATAATATTTGTATGCACAGTATGTGTAGATACACCCACATATAATGCCTGGTCACCGAATGGCAACACCTTCATTAAGCCTGATTCATAAGGCATGCCCCAGGGGGAGGAGTAACTCCACCCTCCCCACCAGTATTGAGGGGGGCTGCATTGGTACAGAACCCCAGGATCCCTGGGGAACCCCAAACCCAGGGCTGAGCAGCGACAGGGCCTAGAGGTGTAGTGCATAACTGGGTAGTGGCTGAGGACCCAGAGACTGCAGCCTGACCCCAGGGCCCCCAAAGCCAGACAAAACCAAAGTGTTATGCATTCTCATACTTAGCATCTTAACCCAGATAACTGGCTGCAGGAGCAGCTGCTCCTATTTCAGACCGCTGCTCCTGCACAGCCTTTTAAAAAAGACAAGTGGGTTAAAACCTCAGCTTGAAAACTCCTGTTAGAGGCCAACCTTGTCTGCTCTCTCCCACACCCCCTTAGCTGTGGAGCAGGTGGAGAAACCTCCCTGGCTTGCTCCAAAGCCACCAACCTACCCTATGTGGCCTGCCTCTCTTGTGCTTCCTCACCCCATCTGAAGAGAACAGGGTGGAGGCTCTCTTGGGGGGGCTTTAGGTGTGGGCTGTTTTCCCTTAGACCACCCTTGGCCCTTCCTAGGTGCCATAACTAAGTAGCCTCACTGGTCAGAGTCACCCTGGAGACACAAAATTCCCACCCCCATGCAGCTAACAAAATGGCTGCCCTAACACTGAGGGAAGAACCAACCACAGGGGAGCCTGGCTGACCACTGACTCAGGGGTCCCAGGTAGCAAAGAAGCCCCTAAGCCAAGGCAGATGGCCCACCCCTTTCAAGTAAAAGCAATGTGTCCAGCCAGGACTGCCTGAAAGCCTTAAACTTCCCCCCAAACATATCTGTCTTGACTTCCCCAATCCTGGAACAGGAACAGGCCAGAAGACCTAATGAAGCAAAAGGGGGCACAAGACCCACTGCCACTGCTGTTGTAAAAGGACTGGGCAAAAAAAAAGGAATGCCAGCTCCCAGCTACCCCACATCAAACACCTTGGCAGATTTCTGCCAAGACCCTCTGCCACTGAGGCCATCGCCACCTTCATCACCCCTGCTGCCACTGCCAATCTCTCAGAGACCATGACCCAGCTTCAGGAGCTGCTCAAGCAAGCGCCATCCCGACTGAGCACATGGTGAAGACTGGAGAGGGCAAGGGCAGAGCCACGCTTAAAAGGCAGCCAGCTCCACCCCCACCACATGCTCACATGTGACATGCCACACAGACACCTCTTCCTCCTTCTCGGGTAGGCAAAGGCAGCTCCTGGCCATAGTGGCCAGGTACAGCCGGACTTTTTTATTACACTCCAGCTACCTTCTTATTCCTCATTTTCTTCTTCGATGCAATCTGAGGGATCTAACTGATCTTTCTTTTTCTGCTGTTGCTGTTGTTTTAGAGTAATCTCTACTGTTTTATGGAATGCTTTGGCTTCTTTAAGATTTCATGCAGATAGCATTAGGTCTCTATATGAGATTAACAACATGAAGGAAAATCCCCAGCGATACTTTAATCCTACCTGTTTCAAAGCAGCAGTTACTGATTTCTGCATTGCAAAGTCGTCATCGTCGTCAGGATTTCTACCTTGCCCTCCCAGTTGGATAT